GTGTGGAAACATTCAGTACCTTATGTTCAATCTTCCTGTCAATTTAGAACCACCCTACCAAAAAGCTGCTAATTAAAAAACAATCCCCAGCAAGCTGGGCACAGTTGATCCCAGCATTCAGGAGGCCCAGCATGAAGACTCATGCAAGTTTGAGGCCAATCTGGGCAAAAGAGTGAGAACCCCTCTAAAACGAATCCAGAGCGTGTTCACAAGATATTCCCTTGTTCACAGCTTTTCCCTCAGCTCCTCAACATCCAATCTTAGCATTAGGCTCTTTTCTTCCTCCTTGGTGACTCACGTTTTGGCCAAGATGTACCCCCACACTCTTCCCATTGTCCTCCTCAGTCATGTAAGAGAGTTCCTGTTGTCCCTTGCATGCTTACAAAACACAAAAGCTGCTGCCCTGGGGCCAAGAGAAGCCATGATAGAAACAGTACTTCATCTGGTCATTCTCGGGCAAGCAGAGGAGGTTGAGGAGTTGCATGGTCCCCGGTCAGTCCTTAGGCTGCGTCACAGAGGGACGCGCTTAGTCTAGGACTACAGTAAGAAGGCCTCACAGGCCCATCCCTTTTTTCTGTTGATCTCTGGGCCTTCTGTTCTGCTGGGAAAGGCAGGATTGTGACTATATGACTTTGCACAAGCCAGTTCCAAGACTAAGCAGCAGTACCTGGAGGTCATAGAGCCCAATAGGGTAGGGGAGCCTTTGGGAAGGACTGTGTCTCCTAACACTCAGGTCCCTCAGAATAGAGAATATCTCTGCTATAGAAATGAAGCAGGCTTGTTCTGGCACAGCCTTGGTGAGGGAATCCAGTACCTCTATCGGCAGAACTGAAACAGGGAGCTTGCATAGCCTGTAGTTAAGGGGTAATGAAGTGTCTGACACAAGATGGATTTGTGTCCAAGGCTGGTTAAAAGCCGAGCACTTTAGGTGGGGAGTTGGTGTGCTGGCAACTTCAGGCCAGCAGCCGCCACAGACTCCAAGATTTCTGAATTGAACTTTTTGATGACTTTTTTTTCTTGGAGATTCTCTGAGAGGATGGAGTGTAGAGTAGGCTGGCTTTGAATTCTTAGAATTCTGCCTCCCAGTGCTGAGAGTAAAGGCATGTACCACCACCCACCTGGCTTTCTGGATCATGCTGGAGCAAGCTGGAGGTTCCAACCAAACATTCCTATCTGTTTATGCATATGGGCAACAGTTCAAATGTGACTGCTTCCTGTTGGCATGGAACGACGTGGGGACAGGGAATAGGGAGGCCACGGTCTCATGTTCCACAGAAGGACTGGGTGAAGGAGTACTCCATTAACTGCCACCCTGGGATTCTCACAAATCCCTACCTAAAGAAAAGGGAGAAGGTAAGTTTCTAGGAGAAAAAATAGATTATTACCACTCACCCTATAAATGGGCCTACCATGGCAACAGTGAACATTACCAGAAACAAGGTACCCCGGCTGTACTGGCAATTCTTCAGACAATTTGTGCAGTGACTCACTATTAGTTTCCACCTGGCCTGATTTGTTGATACAGTGGCAGCACTCTTTCCCCAGGATCATGCAGGTGTCTGTAAAACAGCTGGGACAGATCTACACCTGTGTGTCACAGAGAAGGACATGGCTTTGGATTAAAAGGCATAAATATTTGTGAGGGGAAACATATAGCCCACGAGACAAAAGAGACCAAGATGATGAGCAAGACAGGAGAGCAGATAGGCTTGAACTTCCTGGCCCCTCGCTGGAAAATTCTGGAAAAACTGGAGGGTGGAGGGTCCCAGTTGCTGGACAGAACATTCATCCTGGGTTGGTCCCAGAAGCTTGGTAGCTGAAGGGATGGGAGGATCATGGTACAGGGTTATGTCTACTGGGGCTCTAGAGAGTTAGGCTATAACTGCTTGAGGAGTATCCGTCTCCCTGAGGAGTCTGGGGTGGGCTCAGGAGCCATTGGGTCCATTGGTGTGGAGGCAGGGAGATAGCTGTCAGCAGGGACCCTGGAAGGGAAAGGCAGCATAAGTACCCCACCCGTGGAGGGGTCTGGGATGCGAAGCAGTAGTTAAGGAGGAACAGCCTCCCACAAAGGTGCTCAAAGGTCTTATGCCTGTACTCGACCATGGGATAGCCCATAGGTGTATAAGGGCGATGGGGAGAGGAGAGAGGGCCCAGACAGCCTGAGTTCAGTAGAGAGCTTGGTGAGCTTTTGTCTGAGTTCTTTGGCCCTCTCAACAGTTCTCGACAATTGCAGGCGGCAGGAGACACAGTTTCCAGGAGCTATTGAGGGCTTCTGACATGAGCTCATAGTAGTGAAAGATGGGCCATTGTCTATTTGGATGATCTGCGACACAGTGAACTCACGGATAATGTGCTCAAGAAATACCTGAGTTACCACATCTACTGTTTCCATGGAGGTGGGAAAGCCTCTACCCATCCTGTAAAACAAGAAGTAGGAGATAGTGGATGTTTGAATGAGTGGGCATGTGGGTAAAGTCAACTTGCCAGTCCTTTCCTGATTGGTGTCCTTGGAGCTTCTGCAAGGGCTGCATATCTGGACAGACCCATGTGTGAGTTGGCCTTGGCACATGTCTGGCAGAAGGAGGAGGAGGGGACCTGTAAATTATGGCTCAAAGATGGGTGGGGCCAAAGAGGGGCCCTAAGACGTGGAACAAAGTCTTGGGGCCTATATGTAAGATTTGGTGGATGTCTGAAATGATAGTGATGATTCTGGGGGAGCATGAGACGGTTATTTAAGTAGGACCATCCATCCTTTGTCTGTGCTGCCCTTTATTCAGGGCTTCATCCCTCTCCTGTGACTGATAACAGGGATGGTGTGGGGGGTCACAAACAAAATGTGCCCTGTAGATCCAATGGAGCTGGGGTCCAGTCCCCGGGCTACTGAGTCAACCCTGGCATTGGCTAAGGCCCCTGTCTTGGAGGACTAGTGTCCTCAACAGTGAATTATGGATACTCCTGCAGGGAACTGGAGGGCTTCCAAGAGCTTGGCTATAAGGAGTGCATTAACTATGGGTGTGCCCTTGGTAGCAAGTAAGCCTTCCAAAGGACAGAATGGGTATAAGCTACTGAAAGTCATATTTAGAGTGAGTGTAAATATTAGCCCATTCATCCTTAGTTGTTTGGAACACACTGTTCAAGCCAGTTAATTCAGCCCCTTTTTCCCACTTTACTCAACACATTTTTTCCTCTGGATTTTTTATTTAAATTAGAAACAATCTCATTTTACATATCAATCCCAGTTCTCTCCCCCTCCCTTCCTCCCTATCCTATCCCTCTTCTGCTCCTCAGGGAGGGTGAGTCATTTCATGGGGGATCTTCAAAGTCTGTCATGTCATCTGGAGCAGGGCCTAGGCCCTCCCCCATGTGTCTAGGCTGAGAGAGTATCCCTCTATGTGAAATGGGCTCCCAAAGTCCATTTGTGTACTAGGGATAAATACTGATCTACTACCAGAGATCCCATAGATTGCCCAGGCCTCCTAACTGACACCCACTTTCAGGGATTGGTTCAGTCCTATGCTGGTTTCCCAGCTGTCAGTCTGGGAATCACGAGCTCCCCCTTATTCAGGCCAGCTGTTTCTGTGGGTTAAACAAGCCAAGTCTTGACCCCTTTGCTCATCACTCCTCCCTCTCTGCTACTGGATTCCAGGAGTTCAGTTCAGTGTTCAACTGTGGGTTTCTGCTTCTGCTTCCATCAGCTTTTGTGAAGACGTTGTCCTCACCTGCAGGACCGCCGCATAAGCCATCTAGAAGTGTCCTGATCTGTCTATAAGAAAGCTTCCATCTACAAAGAGGGTGGTGACTGGGGGTCTGAGAGAGGATGGTCTAGGAGACCAGGCTGGTGTGAAGGTAAAAGCCTCCAAAGCTTCTGGGCAGCAGTGGAAGGAGGTGTCAGAGGAGAAAGGGACAGGGAGGAGGAGGGTTGCAGGCTTTAGGTAAGGACTGGAGGCCAACGTAACTTGGGGTTTTCTAGAAACAGTAAATGAAAGACCTGGACCCTTGAAACCCAAGGAGGGAAAGAGAAGGATGGCTCAGAATCTCTGAGAGTTGGTCGATAGCGTGTACAGTGATTGGCTGACATGGGGTGAATTTGAGGACCTCCCAGCTGAGTTTGCTGCTATTGAGAAGGCTCCCAAACATGACTGCCTCCCACAGACAGGAAAGTTGTTTTGACACGAAGGCAAAGCCCAATTGGAAGGCCAACCAGTTGGGCTAGAACTCAGCAGCCTTTCCCATCTTTTCATCTTAAAGAGGTGGATGGGACAGATGGGGTCTAGAAGAGCCAGAGCAAGGACTGTTAGGAGCCGTGTCAGCAGAAGGCAGCCAGGCAGATGAGGGGCCCCGTGGGGGTCTCTCTGGCTGCCGGTACAGGGACTTTGTGATGGCAAAGACAGTGATCCAGTGGTCGCAGAATCCCATCAGTACCAAATATGACGGAATATGGTCCGCTGTGGTTCCATGGTGCTTGGACTCAGTCAGAAGGGAGAATCTTAGACCCCAGCCCGAGTTGAAAACCCAAATAGCCAACAGTGGGAGAGCATAGGTGAGCCTCGGAGAAACACAGTAACCCAAGAAGACAAAGTGATTTAGGAGCAAAGAGGTAGCTGGGACAGAGATAGGGAGGGTTGCTATAATCGTGAGGTGTCTAAAGCAGGATGTAGCAGCTGTAAGTTCAGGCCATTCAGGGCTACAGCACCAGGTCCTTCTGTAGCCTGCGAATGTGGTGACTGAAGGAGCCCAAGGAGTGCAGGCAGGCAAACTGCCTGTCACTGGCACTCGCATTGGGGATGTTAGCGGCTGGGGCCAGGATCCCAGAGGGCGATGGCAAAAGAGCTGGGTCGCTCAGACCCACCTGCAAAGGAAAGGCGAGACTAGTGAGCTTGCCCAGAGCCAGTGGGTGCAGTGGAGTGACACCGTCGAGGCTTTCGTGAAGGCCAAAGCAGGCAGCTTAGGGAATAGCTGTTCCCTCCCACCTGGCTCACAGAGGCACACACACAAGCAGGTTGAGCAGAATCACATTTATTTCGAGCCAGCGGGGGCGCTCCCACGTTGGAGCAGGGCTCCCAACAACTGCTCACACATGGCCAGGGACCGGGGCACATGGAAGCAGCCTGTGAGGAGAATGGATACAGGTTTGGGAGAGCCCAGGGAGCCGGGTACCACAGACCCCAGCAGTCTGGCCAGGAGCATTCCCATCTCACCTTTAAATGGACCTCCCTTGATGGTGAGGGCCACCTTTCCCTCTCGGGTCAGATAGCCGAACCATTCGCCGTACTCCGGATCATGAAACTAGAATAAGGAAACACTGACAAATAGCGTCTGGCAGGACCCACCACCAGAGTGTCACCCGCCGAGGAAGGGGCCCTCGCTGTCCCCGGTGCACTGCAGCCAGTGGTCAGAGTTCAAATGGCATGATTTCATTACTTTTAAGGGAACATGCCCTAGGAAATGACGAAAGCTGAGGACGGTAGGCAGGTGGTTTTCTCAGCTTGTAACCCGTTGAGGAAGGGGCTGCAGGCAGTGTGCTGAAATGCCGAGAGGACAGGAGAATTGTATCTGATTGTGGTGTTTAACACTTTGAACTGCACACTTAAAAAGACTCATTATTTTCCTCATCTAAACTTAAAACACAAGAAACAAAGAATCCTAGATTGACCTGCCTGCAAACTGTGCAACAAGTGACTTCCCTTGAGTTCATGCCCTCTGTTTCACAGGCCTTTAGGTTATCAAGCAGAGACCATAACTCCTGTCCTTGGATAGGGAGGTTTTTAGGTTTTGTTTTTGCTTTTTCATACTAGGGTTTTTATAGCAGGGTCTCAGATTTTCCTCTAACCCTGTGTGATGCAGCATGCCTTTAGTCTCAGGCCCCAGGAGGTAGACACGGACATATTTCTGTAACTTTCAGGCCAACCTGGTCTTCCGCCTGACTTCACCCTGGGTTCTGAACACGTATCTCACGTCTTCTGGCCCTGTCCAGGGAGCACATCTGATGCTTCAGATGTGGGGGACAGCAGCTGAGCTGGCTGGACTGACCCCCTGTACACCCATCTCATACCTGTCTCTGAGGTTTTCAGTCCTCCAAATGTAGCCTGGGTCCTAATTCTAGGCCATTCCTGTTTTGTTCTTACTGAGAAAATACTTATGTAGAACCCCTTCTTAGAAGGCATTCTTAGAAGTTCGCTGTCAAAATGCTTCCAAAATGAGCTGTGAATTTCAAGCTATGTAATGGTTCAAGTCTAGAGTCCTTGTTAGGCGTTAGGAGGATTGCTACAAGTTCAAGGCCAGTCCAGACTCTGTCTTAGAAAGACTGGTGGTGGTGTATTTAGGGATAAGCATCTCTGTATGTAATCTTTGTAACTTTTGAGTAGTCTTCTCCTTCATATTTCTTTTTGAGAAAGTTTCTCTCATGTTTATTTTCCAAACTGCCCTGGAACTTGTTATGTAGCTCAGGTTGTTCTGGAATTAGATTGAAATCCTCTTACCTCTGCCATCGTTTTCTTTTTAATTTTATGAGACAAGGTTTCTCAGTGTAGCATTGGCTATCCTGGAACTCACGGAAATCTGCCTGCCTCTGTTTCCCAAGTAGAGCAGTTAAAGGCATAAGCCACCACCGCCAGGCTCATGCCCTCATTTTAAATTAGTTTATCTGATTCACGATAATGTGAGTAGGGAGCAGGGAGAAAGAAAACTAAAACCTCCCGAGACTTTTCTTCTGTGGGCTGTTCCTTGGCCATCTGTATTCTGGCCTTGTCTATTGCTGCACGGCTTAGTGGCTAGCTACCTGCTCTGTTTTGTTTTTGCTTTGTTTTGTCTTGGGTTTTGTTTTGTTTGGCTTTGGTTTTAGTCTTTCAAGACAGGGAGGGTTTCTCTGTGCAGCCCTGGCTGTCCTGAAATTCAACCTATAGACCAGGTTGGCCTCAAACTCGGAGACCCACCTGACTCTGCCTTCTGAGTGCTGGGATTAAGGGCATGCACCATCACTGCCCACCTCTACCTCTTGATTATAAGTTCTCCAATCATTTTTTTGTTCTCACTTTATAGAACAATTTAGGAAAGCTTTGAACTCTCTGGCCTCTTTCCTTGGCCTCCTGAGTGCTAAGATTACAAAGATATACACCACAATGGGCTCTTAGAATTGTCTAATGTCATCTCCATTTTGTTCAGATTCATTCTTACTTCATTTTGGTTAAGACTGGTGGCTTCTAATTCATTCCCTTAACGAATATATTTAGTATTCAGGCAGAGAAGCACTCTAATGGTTCATGTTGTTTAGAATTGGTGCTGAGTATCTCAGAGAGCTCTAGCTGCCTTCTTAGATACACTGTAATAGAAACAAGGCTTGGATTGTGTTCCCTCTAATCGCAGTAAAACCAGGCTGGATTTCAGTTAGAATTAGTGCAAACCAGCCAGATACTGTTGCACACACTGTCATCTCAGCACTCCGGAGTCAAGGCGGGAGCAGGAAGAGCAGAAGAACAAGCTTTGAGGCCAGCTTGGCTTACATGAGCCATCTAAAATAATAATCACACACAAACTGTCATTTTCTCCTAGCACCAAAGGCACAGGCCAAAGAATGGGAGTCGCTATTACAGATGCAGTGTAATCACTAGAATAGTGACTTCTCTTAAAGAACACTGCCTACATTAAGTTCATTGTCCTCTGGAAGTCCCTGGTTTGGTTTCTTTTCTGCTTCAAGACTGATTCTGGTCTCCTTCAGCAACCCTTATACTATCTTCTCTTTACCTTCTGTACTAAAAAACTTACCTTGACCCTGGCTCTCCATAGTAACTATTTTTCTTGCTGTTATCTATTTGCTTGAAGCAAGATTTCCCTATGTAGATGGTTGGTCTTAGATATACTGTGAGGACCAGGCTGGTCTCTTTCTTTCTGTAACCTCTAGTTCCAGCCACACAAAGGGCTAGGATTTCAAGTATTCCTAGGTCACTGAATTTCTTAAGACAACTAGACCCTTTTTTTTTAGTTTTTTTTTTCAATACAGGGTTTCTCTGTATTGTTTTGGAGGCTGTCCTGGAACTTGCTCCGAGGTCTCGAACTCACAGAGATCCGCCCGCCTCTGCCTCCCGAGTACTGGGATTAAAGGAGTGCGCCACTACCGCCTGGCCAACTAGACACTTTTAATAGACCAAATTTCTCTCTCTGAACTACAGTCTCAGAAACTCATCTGCTGGGCCAAGAATCAGTAAAGTGCCTTGCAAACTAGCCTGATGGTTGTGGTGATAAACACCTTTAATCCCAGCACTCCGGAGGCAGAGACAGAGCCAGGTGGATCTCTGAGTTAAAAGCCAGCCTGGTCTATAGAGTGAATTCCAAGACAGCCCAGCCAGGGCTACCCACAGAAACCCTGTGTTGCAAAACAAAAAAATAAAACAACAACAAAATGCCTTGCAAACATGAGTAACCCATCTGGAAGAAAAAAAAAGCAGATAAGGCTAGCATGCTTGCAATCTCACTCCTGGAGAAGCAGAGGTAGGATGATCCCAAGAATTCACCTGCTAGCCAGCATATCTCAACAAGAAGGTATATAGTGCCCGAGAAACACCACCTGAAGTCGTCCTCTGAACTATCTATTCTCTCTCCCTCCCTCCCTCCCTCCCTCCCTCTCTCTCTCTCTCTCTCTCTCTCTCTCTCTCTCTCTCTCTCTCTCTCTTTCTCTTTCTCCCTGTCTCTCTCTCTCTCATACACACACACACACACACACACACACACACACACACGCGCGCACACACACAGCAGAGCATGCTTAGGCTGCTGGACCTGGCAGATCAAGCATGTTCCTGCTACATGGAGCCCCCCTGACTGGACCCTCCTGGCTTCCCTTCTGTCAAACAGACATACCCTGGCCTCCAGTGCTTTGGATCATCACTCACAAGGTCTTCTTCTGACCCCTCTGTAAGAAAGCTCTGTATGATTTCATTTACTGTTTCCACTGCTTGGTGGGCTCTACATCTGCTTATTTTTACTTGATTGGAGTCTGATCACCCAAAAAGCTGACTTCCTTGAGGCAGGTTTTACCAAACAAAAGGCACTCTTGGAACTCTCAGGGCAGCTGAGGGCAACACCTGATGAATGGGCTAGGAGCAGCTGAGGGAAAGCCTACTGGATCCCCCTCACACAGCCTGTTTCTCCCTCTCCTGCTGTCTGTCATATCCTTTACACCCCAACCTGGGCCTCCAGCCAATGAGGAGATAACACTTACATGCTTGAAGGTATACTCAGCTACCTGCTTGAAGATCTGTAGTAAGGCAGGGTCACCACTGTCACTGTAACCCATGAGGAAGGAAATCATGGCTTCACTGTGTGGCCACCACAGCTTCATGTCCCACTCCAGCTGAGAACAGAGCAGAGATGGGCAGCTGAGGTCCCTGTTGACCTCAGGACACTTACTCATACCCCCCATGCTGGTTCCATCTGCCTGGCTGAGGACTTGGTTCTTAATCGTGAGACATGGGGATAGAGTTTGAACAATGCTTTAAGAGTTGGGCTAGCTTTCAGACTGTATGTACCCCCAAGCAAGTACCAGGGCAGACTCAGAATGTTACTTTAAGTCTCTTGGACACTGCTGCTACCAATGGCTGGTATAGTACCCTCTGCAGATGTCCAGCAGGATCAGGACACAAAGTGTTCAGATGAATAATTTCACTGCTGTCTGCTACCAAGTGAAAGAGTAAGGATCACCCAAGAACCCTTCAAGTCACTAGCACCAGACAAAGGGGACCTGTGTCTTTGCATCAGCAATTACATATAATCTCTTATCTAATGGCTTTCACAGTGCTGGAGAAGACTACACTCTGGGTTCAAATTTTGTTGTTGTTAATTGTTTCTTGAGACAGGGTCTCTCTATGCTGTCCTGGAATTCACTATGTGTTATGTGTATCAGGCTGGCCTCAAACTCACAGAGATCTTTCTGCCACTGCCTCTATGCCCCAAGATGTGTGCCACCACACCTGGCTATGAGTTCCCCTACACGCCAGACTTCCAGCAAGTTTCTCTGGGAGTTCCCACCTGGGTGGGGCAGAAACCATCAACGTCCTGGAAGTACAAGAGGCCTCCATGTTCGGTGTCCCATCCAGAGCGGAAAGGCAACAAGAGAAATTTGTCAATGACTTGTGCTCGAAGTTTGGTGTCACCTTTCTTGCGGGCATACTGGAGCATGAACCAGCCAGCTTCTATTGCATGGCCTAGTTAGGGTTGAAAGAAAGGAAGGAAGGAATCACAATATACTCTCCCAAGTATCTGAGGGCTTGTGTTCCTGCAACCTCCCTTCCTCTCAAGGGTAAAGGATGCTTGAAGTCACAAGATACCCTGCCCTTCTACCTGAAATCCCTGCAAAAAGAAAAAAGAAAAAAGCAAGAAAAAGAAAAAAAAGGAAAACAGGAAAAAAATTCCCCCAAAAACCAAAACACAGACACGTAAACTCCTGGAGTCAATGCCTGGTCCCGGGCAGACTATCCCCTGCCTCTACCTGGTCCTTTGTGGAGGGAGGAAGGCAGCCCCCTCCCATATGAGGCCCCAAACTAGAGCCTCAATTTTTCTTGGTGGGCGCAGCATGTTTTCACCTGGGTTCTGATGTCTTCCAAGGCAACCAGGGAGTTCCTTGCCATCGTCTGATATATTCTCTAGCACAGCTTTTCCATCCCTCTGCCAGGAAAGAGACAAAAGACAGATGTTTCCACTTCCCTGCCACCCAACCAGAAAGATCCCACTTCAGACATCCCTCCCACCGGGTAAGGTGGTGCTTGCCATAAATCTCAGCCCTGGGGAGGCAGAGGCCGGTGGATCTCCATGAGTTCACAGCCAGCCTGGTCTACAGAGTGAGTGGCAGGACTGCCAGAACTGTTACACGGAGTTCTTTCTTGAAAAACCAAAGAAGAAAAAACAAACAAACAAACAAGAAAACCAATCCTTCCTCCACACTTGCATGGTACCAGCCATCCACCCGTAGGCCCAAAGGGGCATTTTTAGTTGTTGAGTCTTTTAAAACCGTCTTGGGTAGCCCAGGTTGCTCTCAAACTCACTAGACATGCAAGGCTGAGCTTGAACTCTACACTTTTCTGCTTCTACCTCTAGAGTTCGGGAATTGCAGAACATTTGGGGAATGGCTGACTGTCGCCCATGGTCCTGGAGGTTCTGCTCCTTGCTTTAGGTCTGTATCTCTCAAGTGGACACAGTAAAATACTCAGTGAGGATCCAAGATAGAGTTATGTGGTCGCAGAGGCTGGGGAATATAGGTAAAGGTCTCAGGACGTGTCTGGGGCTCTGGCCTCCTCTTTCTGCCTTAGGACCCACCCATCTCTGCCCCACATGCCAGTTTCCACCTTCCTGAGGGCACTGGGCTGTATTTCAAATGGATATGCTTCCTTGGATCCACCTGAAGAACATGTTTCAGGTGGAGAGGTGCTGGTCAAGTGGAGGATTGAGGTTCACTCCTTCCCTCTCTCTGTGCCTACCTGCACGTGCTTCAGAATCCGCTGGGCACACCAGTCCGACAGTTCTGCATACTTCTTGGTCATGGCCTCGTCTTCCTCCGAAAGCTGGTCCATGAGGTTCATCAGCATCATGGGCACCGCCATGGACTCTGAGGCTGGGGCCCCTGACAGCTGAGGCCGGCCTAGCCCAGCTGGGTCCTCCCGCACCCAGCGAATGATCTGGTCCATCATCTCCACAGCTTCATTCTGGAGAGGGGAGATACTCAGGACTCAGCACGGTCTCCGAGGACCCCTGGCTCCTTCTGCAGCTCTCCAGAAGCAGCCCTACAGCCAGGCAGCAGAGGCCTAGCAGATCCAGCCAACACTGCTTGGAGGCTGGGGACTCTTGGTTTCAGGTCACTTTCAGGCAGAAAGACTCAGGAAGGAAGGACAGGACCTCTTCTGCTTGGACACAGGGCACTGACTGATAGATCCCTGCTTGCCCGGGGTCCCTATAGTGGTAACAGAATAGTAAGAGAGCTTAGAAGAGAAGGTGGTATCTCGGTCACAAAACGGTATGACAGGGTGAACGGGAGTTGCAGCAGGCTTCTTCAGAATGTGCTCACACCTGTGGTCCTTCCTCCCACACACCTGGTAACGTGCATCCTTTGTTACTCTCCAAAGCTCGTTCATGCCAATGGTGTAGAAACACTCGCTGAAAATGGTCCGCTGCACCTTCATCGGACGGCCGTCTCGAGTCAACACAAAGGCACACTTCTTGGCAGGCGGTGCCACCCGTGCAAAACGCAGCAAAAACTCACCACCTGGTGGTTGGGGGGGACGCATGCTAGGTGAGGGCTGGGAATATACCTCCTCTTGGACCCTATCTAGTCCCTTTCCTTTTCTAGAGTCCTTCCTATCCACGGAATAAGTGACCCACCAAAGTTCCCGAGGTGCTGGGAGCAGGGCAGGGTACCTGCTTTTGCAGCATCCAGAATCTCAGGGCGGCGGAAGCGCTCAAAATTGCGGTACAAGCGACAATACATCCACACCTGGGAGGGAACACAGTTTCAAGAGAATAGCTGGGGTACCGGGAATGCTAAGGGTCCCCGGGTTACACCCTGAGTCGCGTGACATCGCCTTTAACTATGAAAACTGACCTGCCTTCCCTGCAGCCAGACATATTTAAGGTCATCATAGACCTGCCCATTGCGGCCAAGGCATGTGAAGAAGCCCCTGTGAGACACATGTGGTTAGAAAAAGAGGGAAGGAGACTCGCACCCTTCTCCACAGCTTCACTGCTCTCCTGAAGCCGGTAGGTCTGTGAGGCCTCAGAGTGAAGTAGGGGTTTGGGAGGGGATCCTTGAAGGGTAGCTTACCCATGTTCCCGGTCATGGGAATGTTTCAGCCAGAAAGCCACCACACTGTCAAGTTCCTTTGCGATGCGTTCCTTCCAGGTCTGCAGGGCCTCCCGTTCCTTCTCCATGACCTGTAAAACGATCCGGATCAGGGCACGGAGACACAACTCTGCACAGGGACTCCCTGGACCAGCTCAAGCGGGCCCGGAACTGCTTGGGGGACACCTCACCCCCACACGAAGGTCCCCTCTTACCTCTGTTGATGAGCTTTGAATCCCACCGCTGGCTGGAAGCCGTCAGATCAGCCCCTCTCCTGCCAACCCTGCCTCATTGATCTCGAACACCTCCCAATAACCGTTGGTAACGTACATCACTCAGGTTACCCAGCGGTGCCCCGGTCACTTCACCCTCCTCAGGATTCCGAAAGGGCCCCCGCTGCCCACGTCTAGGTACTCCTTCCCCAACCCTTGCTCTGGCGGGAACTGGGTGAGGGCAGCTGTCCCAGGAGGAGGGAGGAAGAAGGAAGCTGGATCTGGGCCTGGCGGAGGTGGTGGGTGTTTCCCAGCAGATGTGTGAAGTCGAGGTGCCCCTAGAAACGTCTGAATCCTGAGACCCTATGACCTCATAGAGTGGGCAAGTCATCACTGTCAGTCTGGTCCTGTAGGTGTTTTCAACTGTCAGGATCCAGTAATTTGCAACCATTGGCCCTGGTTGCCAGTTCCTGGATACTTCACCCCAGAGGATGCTTCTGGGGAAACAGGTGGTAACCATGCATCTTCCAAATGGTAATGCCTTCGAGCTACCCAGTGTTGGTTGGCTCTGAGACAGGCTGGTTCGTGTGTTTCTCCATTCTCGTTACCCTCTGGGCACCCTCATCCATCAGCAGAATTACGTGGAGGGAGAGTTACAGTCAGAATGCATGGGGTACTTGAAAATGTTCTGAATCTTTTTTATTTCCATTTTATTTTATGTGTCTTGGTGGTGGGTTGGTTTTGTTTGTTTGGTTTTTTTTTTTTTTTGCCTCTTGGTATGTCTGTGCACCACATGCCTGCAGTACCCTCACAGGCTAGAAGAGGGTACTGGGATCCTTTGGGCTGGAGTTACACATGGCTGTCAGTCTCCATGTGGGTGCTGGGAATCGAACCTGGACCCTCGGGAAGAAAACACAACGCGCTTCACAGCTGAGTCAATCTAGTTCCTTGAACATGTTCTTAAGGGTGTACTGCAACCCAGGAGTGTAAAGTAACTAGACCTTCTGCCCTCAGTGCTGCTCTGGGAGTTGGTTAGAAAAAAAGAATGAAGTCCCCGAACATGGTGACGTTCATGTGACACCCCACCCTAAGCTGTGTGCCAACCTTTGGCTCTACAATGATTGCTACCTTTGGGTCTATGACTGCTGGCCAGCTTGGCAGGCTGGAGGGGCTCTTTCAGCCTTAAACACTTCACCTTGGTGCTGCTTGGAGGAAGCCTGGTCCCCGTGTCAGTTAGGTATGGATCTACTCCAGTGGATCTGTGTAATCTACCCTCAGCTGAGCTCATACCCAGGGAACACTGTAGCTGTATCGAGGTGGGCCTGTGTGACTTATCCAAACTGTATTCATCTGTGTCCATCCTCCCCTTCCTCTCCTGCACACATCATCCTCAAGCTCAGTCAAGGACAAGCCTTGGTGTGATACTAAAGATGGTTCTCTAGCCCTGGATTTCTTAAGAGGAGGGTGAGGCAAGGCTGTGATGCCTCTTTCTGCCCTCAAATTCAGTTACCTAGTTTGTTTGTATCCCAGGCTAGCCTTGAAATCTATTAGCCAACAATAGTCTTGAGCCCCTGGTCCTGTTGGTGGACCTCTCAAGAACTGGGTGTATTGTATCACACCCAGCTTCAAGTTCAGTATTTTTGTTTGCTTGTTTGCTTTTGTTTTCCAAGACAGGGTTTCACTGTGCAATCCTGCCTGTCCTGGAAGTTACTAAGGCTGGCCCTGAACTCACTGAGATCTACCTGCCTCTGTCTCCCCAGTGCTGGGATTAAAGGCATGTGCCATCACCAGCCAGCTCAAAGTCAGTATTTTAGGGTCTGTGCCAAAGCACTTCTGGTATTTAAAAAATAAAATAAAAAAGGATTTCTTTTTAATTGAATTGTGTGTGTTTTTGTGTGTGTGTGTCTGTGTGTATGTGTGTTGATCACAGAAGTCAGAGGCATTGACTCCTCCTGAAACTGTTCAACAAACACGCTGGAAACCAAACTCTGGTCCTTGGCAAGAGCAGTGTCATCTTAGCTACTGAGCCATTTCCCCAGCCCTGCATATGCCTTGAGTTCCAGAGCTGTGTGAGAAGCTCAGCACGGGGAAGGAGGGGGAAGGGAGGGAAGCCCCGTAGGAAGTGGCCACAGGAATAGTGTGCACTTCTGCCAGGCTAAGCACATCTGCACGTGCCTCTCCCCTGAACAATTCACCTCTGGTGGCCCATGCCCTTCTATCCCTGGACATTGCTCCCACAGCTCCTGTCTGCAGGACAACTTATTGTTCTTCTCCCTGGACCTGAGGCAGACTAGTGGAACTTTAACTCGCTGTCTTTCCCGGCAGGACACCCCCAACAAACCAGGAGCCTTGGAGGTTGTGAACCCAGTGAGGCTGTGCTCCCAGTCCCAAGTTATCCTTTAGCTGGCCTGAGCTGCCCCATCTGGGGCAACGGAAGGGTCTGGATGGGAGGCTATGATGGATATCACATGCTAGGAGGTGTCGCTGGGCGGTGTGAGCATCAAGCAAAGGGCTTCTCAGAGGCCTTCTACACTGGGCCTGCAGTCAGGCCTCAACGTGCACCGAATGCACACGTCTGCTTGGGGACAATGCTACCAAATTACTAAGTTTGTATCATGTACCTACTCCCAGTCTGTGCAGGACATATGGCTGAACAGACACAAGGAGCTGCTCAGGGGAGGGACTTCGGTGGCACTTGGCCAAGCCTGTAGGTACTTCAGGCCAGGTCAAAGCAGTCCCACAGTGAGGGCCAAGTGTTCCCAGTAATGCTGATAAGTGAAGGGATGCGGGGGTGGTGGGCATTGACCTAAGTTTTCTGTCTATTGTTTTCTACTGGCAATTACCCACTCCAGAGATTTTCCGTCTAACCTACAGAGGGCGGGGCACAGCTGAGGACCCCACACCACCACAGGCCTTCTGACAATTTCTCTCTGGCTTGATTTAGCACTCACCCATATCTTAAGCAAAAACTGCACGTCCTGACAGGTGGTAACAGCACTAAGCCCCACCCCTCCAGACAGAGGGCCCAGGCGAGCACCACAACCCACCCACAGACCAATATATCAAGCACAAAAACACACTGTGTTGGCTTCTAGTAAGTGGGATGTCCACAGACGGGTCATCAGCCATATATCCTCAGAACGCTAAGCGATCTCTTCATTTAGTAGAATGGTGACTTAACGCTTACTTCATTCCAGGCATGTTTTAGATAGTAGTGTCTGCACTTCTGGAGCTGGTACCATAGCACGGGAAGAGCCATGGTAGAACGGGAAAGGAGCCATGGTAGAATGACCAGGAGCAATCATGGGTGCTTATAGGATGCACTCACAGGTCAAGTGTCACAACCTGTAATCCCAGCCCTCAAGAAGCAGAATCGGAAATATCCACATTTCAAGATCATCTAAGCCTCTAAATGTGAGTTTGAGGCTTGCCTGGGCTGGCTACAGGGGACACTGCCTCAAAAAACATAGATATACAAAAAGCAAGGGGGAGACCAGGCTGGCCTCTGATGGACCCGGAATAAAATCTGAACATTAGCCCACCTACCCACCTTCTTCTGCTCCCTGACCCTTGCCCTGTAGTCTCAGTCACGGGAGAACAGTTGGTTAGAAATTAACAGTCCATGAGCTCCTTGAGGAGTGGACTGGGGTGGGGTCGGAGGAGGGGGGGTGGTTGCAGCAGGCAAGAAGGAACTGTGGTTGTCATTTAAAATGAATAAAATAAATAAAAATAAAAAAATAAGATCCCAGCTGAGTCAAAAGCTATGTTGAGATAAACACAGACTTGTGTAAGCAAACCCCCAGGTAAGCTTGTACTAATTGAAAACGTTATCACAAGATGTAAATTCCTGGAATGTTCTGTCACCAAGGACTTCAAATTGTAAAAATTCTTTTCTTCTATGGCCCCTACCCCCACCACACACACACACACACACACACACACACACACACACACACTTCTGGCTTTCATTTTAAAAAGGACTTACTCTCTCTCTTCCGGGTCACAGTTAAAGTTCTGGTAACCCCGTGCAAATGGAATAAAGTTGCTTCTGCTCATCTAACTTTGGTGGCCTCATTTTCAATACGTGTGCAAGTCCCAGACCCAACATCTCTGTCTCCCAGAGTGCTGGGCTTAAAGGCGTGGGCGACCACCACCCAGCCGCTCCAGGAGACTTTCAGGAAGCAGGATGGAATCTTTGTCACCACCTGCTGGCTCACACCCTCTGCAGACATCATCACAAACTGCCTCTGGACCCCAAGATGGAGGGCCGGGTCCAACTTCCATAGGCAAGCTCACGACTACAGCCCCAACACATCACTAAGTCACACTTTGGTATAAATTGTTTACACCAAATAAGTACACTGGAATTTCAGCTACAGGATGGAAAACTCCAAGGATCACTGCATTCCTCTTCTTGGGAGCAAATACGCTATGCCACACTGCTTCTCTGAGCTTGTATCCGCAATAGCTTAAAATACAGAGCCAATGAGAGTCCTCATGTGAGTCAAGATAGCTGGAGAAAGAATGTGGGGTGGGGTGGAGGATAGATGCCGCCCGCCTCCCTGTGCAAGAGTCACACACTGAAGAAATGAAGCTGTCAGCTAAGAATTCACAAAGCTCATTGCAGGAAGCAGAGGTCTAACAGCCTGAGGCTATAAGGTCAGCCCAGCTGAATTTCTCTGACCCACATTCAGTCTTCTTGCCTGACCCAGGGACAGCAACCCTAACCTGCAAGCTAATTCAGTGCCAAAGGGAGGCAAATGTGGCGGTGGACACTCCTCCGCGGGAAACCAGGCCTGAAACTCCCCCTCACCTTTGACTTGTGACTCATACTCCGCCTGAAGCCCTTTCTCCCGCCGCAACTTCCTGCCCGGCCGCTATGGATGAGGGCCGATCGAGCCTGCCTTCCAGTCCCTAGGCTCCCATGCAACAGAGAAGCCAGACCGCGGGGACCAGGGGCCCCAAGGTCAGCACATTCCACCTGCTCCGCCCCGGCCCGCCCTGCCCTGCCCCGGCCCGCCCTGCCTTGCCTTGCCCCGCCTCCGGCACGGTCCCCGGAGGGGCGGGATGTCCTGGATCCAGAGCGGCCCTGTGGGTCTCCTAAGGACAAGTCTGTCTCTCTCCTTCCTCTACTCCTCTACCTCGGTGCCCTGGAGTCAAAAACTCAGTATCAAGAAGTCAATGCAAGAGAGCCCCCAACATGCCTGGGACCACCCGCTGCTGTTCCTCGCCTTCTGCAGAAAGCTATCTGTGGTCCTCAATGTCAGACCACACCCCTGTGGCCACTGGCCTTCAAAACTAGAGGACAATGGTGCCATAGCTGCTCCAGACCCAAGAC